GGGGGGGGGGGGGGAGTTCCGGCCCGTTCTTGCACGTTGGGTGCTGCTCCGAGGTCTCGCGCCGCGGGAAGGAGAGACCACCATAGCTGGCTACCACCGCGGCCGTGGCGGTTAGAAAGCGGGCGGACTTCCTATGTGGAGGTCCTCCGCAGAGCCCGGAGGGAGATCCTCTTGGTTGACCTGGGAGGCAGCCTTCGTGAGGCGATCCGCTGATGGGAGAATGCTGATCGGAGTTGCCAGCCCTTAGAGGGATGTGCGGGCAGACGCCCTCGCTGCGAGGCTGAGAACTGTCCTACCTGAGGCGGCGGTCTCGCGACCGTTGCATATGGCGGAGGACCAGTTTGTCGGTTTTAACGTGTCGGTCCTCCCCAAAGAGGCAATGGAGGTCCTGGCGGTCTGCGGCGAGTATTGGTCCGACGTCCGGCTGGGCCAATCGGTTGGGGAAGAAGCGGGATCGGTTCGGTATGGGCTCGGCTCCCCCTGGCGGCAGCGGTGCCCGCCGCCAAAGTCAAATAGGTGGCGCTAGGGTGAGTGGCGGCTCGCATTGAGTTGCTAGCCAGTTGCCCACTCTAGTGCTACAGTTATTGAGGCCCCAGCCACACCCAGGCCTCCTGTTCGGTCTTATTGACCGGAGAGGAGCCTGTTACAGACGTAGCCAGGAAGGGCACATCGCGCGGGACTGCGCTGCTTGCGCGTCTTACGTGGTGTATCGAGAGGTGGGGCAGACCACAGGATGTGTGGTCCATCATGCGCCATGATCAACATGAGCCGGGAGGACGTCGTCCTTACCTGCGCCGTCAGCGCGGAAAACTCCTTTCCCCAACGCCGTTAGTGGCGACGTCGCGAGTCCCGGGTATGCTGGTATGCGCCTGGGCAGCCTGCGAGGAGAGGTCAATACGACCTCCCTGCGAGGGAATGAGACAGCTGGTGTTACCGGCGTCAGAGCCCTCCCCCGAGAAGGAGGCGTCCTCCCTGACTCTCGACTGGGTAGTCGACCCGCCTCTCGAGGTAGAAGAGAGGGCTGTGTTGGAGAGGGGGGTGTTAGATGCCTCCCTTTCACCCCGCGTGTCAAGCCGGAGTGGCCGATGTGGCCACTCCTGCCGGAGTACGATCTCCCTAGTGGGGGACCCCAGGATGTTCGGGTGGAGATGGCCTCTCCAGCCTGGGACGCCAGAACATCTCTGGGCGATATTGAGAGGGAGAGTTTCGCGCCCGGGAAAGGCTGGACTGTTGATGTCTGAGACAACCCAGGTACGGTCGTGTCGGAACCGGACTGAATGGTTCGAGTTCGGCTCAGCGAGGAGCTTTGGATGGTGGCGGCTTGGTCGCCCTGTCCAATAGCTTCCCGGCCCCCCTATCGGCGCAGTTACCACCTTGTAGGGAAGGAGAGGCTCAGAAATGCGCTCCTCCTAATTTGTGCCGAGAATGAGAAGGGGACAGTGTCTGCCCTAAGGGCGGGCCCCACTGCTCCCTCCCTAGTTTAGAGAAAGAGTGTTTGAGAGTGGGGGCAGATATCTCCAATACTCCCTATTCGGACAACAATGCCCAAGCCCGACTTATCTATCCTGCGTAACTGTGGGGGGGGGGG